TGTATGTATGTATGTATGTGTGTGTGTGTGTGTGTGTGTGTGTGTGTGTGTGTGTGTGTGTGCGTGTTTACAAGACTTTAGGTTCGAAACTTTCTTTGTTTACCAATGTTAATTTTACTTACGACAGATATATCAAATATAATAGGAAGTCCTCGTGTCAAAGTGATGTTTGCCGTAAATGTATTTCCATTGTGCTGAGCGCGTTGCACTTCGCAATATTTTTGCGCCACAATCAACAATCAAGAGTTGTCTCCCCCACCGACCCAGGCACCTCCACCGACCCCCCACCCAAACCTCCTCACATCGCATCTTTGTTCGTCAAAGTCTATTATTCTCTTTCCCCCGGCGTTTGTTCGTTGCAATGAATGTGTTTGACGTATGCATGACGTCATCGAAGAGCGGTTCAAATATTTTCCTGGCCGCTTTGTGTTGCGTTAATTTGTTCAAACGATTTTTTTTTGTTTTTCATTGATGTTTTATTACACCTCAAAAAAAAAAAAAAAATTAAAAAAAAAAAAAATTAGTCAGAAAGCGAAGATCATCACAATTTGCTTTTGATTCGAAAAATAATCGACATGAAATTCTGTAAACAACATTTCTGTTTCGCTAAAATGGGACCGATTCTTTTGCGAGGTTCAGATGAAAACAACTGACCCGATGAAAAAATTATTATTGAAAAGTTCTCAGCCTGAACCAGTTTCAAAATTTTACCACATGATCAACTATCAATGCGATGGCTAAATTGTCGCCATATTTGTAATTTTAATTTCGCGCATGCGCCTTGTTTGTTTTTGATTTTATCGACTGCACAATATAATATGGTCAGTTGGGCACCCTCTGTGAGAAAAAGAGCACCATGACACAATTCACTCCGCTAACTGATTTAAGAAAGAAGCTTCTCAACTATTACACAACGTCGTAGTCGATTACACCATTTCATATATATATATATATATATATATATATATATATATATATATATATATATGTATGTATGTATCTGTAAAAAGAATCTTATACATAAAAATGTCTTTAATAAATTGTCCATTTCTTAATGTATGACGTCATTTGTTTACATTTGACACGCCATAAGCAGTTATGAATGTACGAGATTCATGGAAGATTGAAGTTTATAAGCAGTAAATTCGAACTTGCCCACCGAACGATCCTTTGTGGCCGAGAGGTTAGGCACGTCAAATGACGGTTCCGTATAGGATGCAGGTTCGAATCCTGTCAAAGGACGAACATTTTCTATGAAAATTCCTTGGACATTCAGGCCGGTAAATGTTATTTAATGCTGTTTATTATAAACAGAGCATTTACTTAAATACTTGTATCTTTAAAAAGAATGTTAAACATAAAAATGTCTTTAATATATATATATATATATATATATATATATATATATATATATATATATATATATAAATTTTTAAATATGAACATTGAAGGCAACACTTAAATGTTCACATTTATATATAAATTATATATATCTAAATATTGAGCACTTCCTATGTGTTCTATAGCCTTGGAGAAGGACAACTCTGAATTCAAAACCTGCGGAGGGTCGTTTGGGGACTCTGTGGCACGTAGCAGCTTTCAACAAGTTCCTTCCTTCTTCCACCTCCGCCAGATCACGTTCTGTCATCCAATTGCTTAAGTTCGCCAGGTATGTCACGTGCTATTTTCCCTTGCATCTCTTTCCCTCCATTCGACCCGTGAGTATCAGATTCTCCAGGCCCTCCTTCCTCATTATGTGTCCCAGGAACTTCAGCTGCTGTTAAGTATAAGCCTCCACCTGGTTTGCATCCTCTCCAAAACCTCATAGTTGCTCACACGCTCGGTCCATGATATCCTTAGCATCCTTCTGTAGAACCACATCTCTGCCGTCTCGAGTCTCTTCTTCATCTTTGAGGAAATCGTCCAACATTCGCTGCCGAAAAGAAAGACAGATGTTACGTAACAGTTCAGTATTCTTTTCTTTGTTACCAAAGAAATCCTCTTGTCTCGTAATACTCTGCCCAGCTTTTGGAATGTGTCCTTAGCCATCCCAATACATCTACGGATCTCTGTGTCGTATTTACGGTCTTCTGTCAGATATTTTAAACTTCTGCGTTTGCTTGATTCTAGTGTTCCCGACCTGCAAATCGCATTTCCGATTCAGCCTTTTACAGATGAAAAATACAGAAAATAAAGCAAACTAAACCTGTTGATTCAGTTTGGTTTGGTTTGGTTTTCTTGGGTTTGTTTAGTTTTACGGTATATTATTTTATATCGAATATTTGACCGTTTCCCATTTTTTTTTGAGACTAATATATATATATATATATATATATATATATATATATTAGTCTAAAATATATATATATATATTAGTAACTAAAATATATATATATATATAAATTCTAAATATATATATATATATATATATATATATATATATATATATATATATATATATATAGTAGATATTTCATCATAGTGGTGGAGTATCAAAGCGGCTTGGAATCAGGAGAGTCGAGTTCAATTCCAGTCAAAACCATTAAATTCAAATTACGTGCTAAAAACCCTTAATTTTAGATGTGAATCCTCCTCTTCTCCCACCAGCTATGGGTAGATAGCAGGACAAACTGTGGCATGTAGTGCACCAGGTCTCTGTATTCGGCCCTTCAAAAAGTGTGGATGGTCCTGCACTAAAACTTCACCACTATAATCAAATCTCATGTGCTGGCGTCGGGCTGTCGGTTTTCTAGGAACTGATCTGTTTGACCCTCATTCGTCGAATTCGACGCGAGTGTCGAGAATATATATATATATATATATATATATATATATATATATAAATTATGAAAAATATCTGATGATACGGCGTCCTTTAAAAGGACTCTGGTGAAATAAATTATTATAATGATAATGGTACCTTAAAATGTGGTCTGTTTTTCTTTTAAATATATATATATATATATATATATATATATATATATATATAAAATTTAATTTAATTAGAAAGCAGACTCCTTAAGTTTTCTAACTAAATTAAATTAATAGTTGCTCTGGTTTGACATTGAGCTCTCTGGATTACATACTCCTTGGGATTATCCATACATTTACCAAACTTTTCATTACATATATATATATATATATATATATATATATATATATATATATATATATATATATAAATGTATCATTCATACCAAAAAATAAAGTAGTAAAGTTAATAATATAAAATGGCGAAATCCCTTAGCTATCTAAATTTAGCTAACTGAATTTTAAAAATGCATTGACCTAATAATCACTCCATGAATATTATGATCCTTGATTTTTAAAATTATTAACTGTATTAAGTCTTCAAAGGTTTTCATCAAGCATGGAAACTAATTTGTTTTTGGTAAAATTCATGTAACATCTAAGTCTAAAAAATATAATGCGAATCGAAATATGTTTTGTTTTTTTTTAAATTTGTTATTGATAACGGATACAAACTTGTGGTGCGTGCAGTCGCAACGCTAAGGTTGAATTTTTAAAACAATTTAAGTTAGTGCGTTTTTTTAATATGTCAATTTAAGAATTTTTTGCTGTAGGGGTTTATCAGTCAACATGGCATGAAGTAAATAGTTCAAAAAGTAGAGTAATGTCTTGTGTTTAAATTCTTTAAGTTTGTAGATGACCCCGGAAGTAAGAAATTGGAAGTATGTTCCACAGGCGAGAAAAAAAATGATTAGAATACATCTACATGGTTACATCTAGACGTTTTAAGCGTATGCTGATGAGATCTTGCCACCAATCAAGTCCTGCTTTTAAATAATACAGTCTAGGTACCATAGAGGAAAGATCAGGAGAACAATTACCGTCAAAGTATTTTTAGAAAAGTCACACGTAAGTTATATTAAGGTAGTGGGAAATTGACTGAAGCCGAGATGCCAGGTCAGGACGAATGACAGTGCAGATTCTTTTTCTCAAAATGTACATTGTTTATATTTTCTTCACCTTGATAATTATCCTCTGAGGAGATGTGAAGTTCCACAGAGAGAAACAGTAAAACAGTGAGACTTAGTTGCCAATCTAGTAGCACGCTTAAATTCATGTAGTTAGGTGCTAAGGATGAAAGCTCAACAGAAGAATTGCAATGAAAATATTTCTAGGAAAATCAGAGAAAAATCACGTCACATCAGTGAGAAAATGACTGAAGACAAGATGCCATGTCAGGATCGATTACATTAAAGACCCTTCTTTGGATTTTGTCAAGAATCTTGAGTTCAGGTTTTAACAGTTAGATAATCATCTGAATCAGTGATTTTCAACCGGTGTGCCATGACACGTTGGTATGCCACGGAACGTTGGTATGCCGCGGAATGTTGGTGCGCCGCGGCACATTGGCGTCAATTCTTTTAAAGGACAGTAATTAAATTAAATTATTATCGAAAGAAGTTCAACGTACAATAAGTGTATATCAGTCATTTATGTGCCATGCTTGATACACGCTTAGGCGATCATATATCTTTCGATACATGCATATCTGACAAAATAATTTTTTTTAATTTATATGTTGCTATTACTTTGCATCCAAGGTTTATTTTAACCCAGTTCTCTATTTTATATAGCTTTGAGAAAAAGGATTCATATACCTTCCGCAAAATTAGTTTTTTTTAATTGAATTATAATGGATTCGACTGGAATTCAAACTCGGCTCTCCGATTCCTCAATCCGAGCCTATAAGTTTTATAAGTGTACATATCAAAATTAAAATACCTTTAAATTGATTATATTAGTTTATCATTGTCTTTTACGGTTTATCAACCGTTTGCAGGTTATTTAAAACCAGAAAATATTTTATATTGTAAGAATTTTTCAGTTAATAAAGGATTACTAATTAACCTATAGATGGGGAGAAGTAGTGAATTCATACCTTTAGACAAGTCTATTTGCGCGTAAGTGAATATGACGAACCCAACAAGAATTGGGACTCGGCTCTCCGATTAACAATTCCGAGCCATTATCCAGTACCTGATATTCCCAAGTGGTCACCATTCTAGGTACTGGCCACGCTCATTGTTGCTTAAATTTGGTGATCGTACGGGAACAGGTGTTTCAACTTGGCCGTAATTATTGTTATAAAAATTAAACTCGTACATAATATATGAAATAATATAAGAAGGAAGCTTTTCTGCGATAAATTATATTAAAAACAAAAATCGATTCCAAATAGAATCCTTGGAAGAGGATTTAAGATTATGCCTGTCCAAAATTTGACCTTACAAAAGAGATATTCTAAAAAAAAAAAGTCAAATTAAGATATTATCATAAACAGAAAAATAAATAAACATATATGTATATATATATAAAAAAGAAAGAACAGTAAGATATATAATCCGGTGTTCTTATTGATATGTTTTTATTTTTACAAAACAGTGCTCAATTTAAATTTACAGAGCATAAATATTATAAATTAACGGATTTAAAAATATTTTTTCATATTTACAAACAGGAATTACCATGTTTAAAAATAGAAACTTATTATAATTAACTGATTTAAAATATGGTTTCTTCACTACACAGTAATAACCATGTTTCAAAAACTGAAGCTAAAAACTTCAATTTTAATTAGATAATTAAATGAAAAGAATTAGTTGTTTCATCTTCAAGCGAATTTTGGAATATCTTATTTTTAAATTTACTGAGTTTTAAACGCACATATAAATTCATAATTTCCTGTTTCCAAGGATACAGAGAAATCCAATCATTCAGACAGGGACAGTAGCGTGTTCATTTTTATTAACTATTGTTGTATCAATTATGAGTTACGTTCGAAAAAGAGGTTAAGTTTAGGGAGGGTAGGGTGTATTTTGCAACGGATTCTGACATCTGTTAAACGCACGTCGTCTGAAAAGTTTTTCGGCATTTTTTTCGTATTTGTATACTTTAGATTCTTTCTAAAAGTGTTTGGGTTAGAATACATTATATTTAACTATAATTTTAAAATATTTTTACTCTTAATTACTAATAGACTATATTTCTTTTTAAATCAAATAATTGTAATAGAATTACTTAAATTATTTAAAATTATTTTTTCATATCAAATATAAGTATGTATATTACATTCTCCCATTTTTTAAAAAAATATTATTTAGGGAAAATTTTTGACAATGATGGCAAAGAATAGCTATTTCATTTCTTTGATTATGTAAATTTTTATTTTTTATAAACTTAGTAATATATAGTTTCTCATGTATGGACAAAGGACATGGGTCATTTAATGACCTACATATTCTAGGTTTTCTTATTTATTTCCATATATTTCTATAGATTTTTTAATTAGTATCTTTTTATTATAAATTATAATAAATTGTTTAGTTTGTGTTAATAAATAAATCATAAAAAAATATACTTTTTTACTCTTTCTTGATCATCATAATTTAATTAAATTATTTTCGAATGAAATCCAAAGCCTAATAAGTAATAATAAGTAAATATATCAAAATTAAAACTCGTTTAAATTGATTATATGAGTATATAATTGTTGATAATAAATAAACATAAAATAATATTTAAAAAAAAAAGAAGCTTTTCCTGCAATAAACAACATTAAATTCAATAATCGATCCCGGCTAGTATTCTTGAAAGAAGATTAAAGACAAAAAATATGTCTGTCCAAAATTCGACCTTGCATTTTGAAAAATATCAAGCTCAGATTTCTCATTAAATGTTAAATTATCATAAACAGAAATATATATATATATATATATATATATATATATATATATATATATATATATATATATTTATAGATTTTTTTTTTGTATCTTTTTATTATAAATTATAATCAATTGTTTTGTTTGTAATTCTTCCATAGATGATGGCATTTTCACTTCTATAATTGCTTTTCCAATTTCCTTGTAAAACCTCTTGAGGTTCCGTTTGGATATACTGATTTTGTCGATAAAACCTTTAATGTTTTCATATCGTCTTATTCTCTGTGCCATCAATTGTATTTCCTTGATTGGTGCAATTTCATTTACTGCTTTAATTTTATATTTCCGCCCGATCTTCTTACATATATTATTATTATTATTATTATTATTATTATTTGCTTTGATTTCTGTTGTATACACATTTCCATCCGGGTTTCAACCAGACACCTAAAGTAAAAAATGGCTTCATGGCATCTTCAACTGATCATCATTGCAAAAAAGAAAGAAAAAACCCAACAAAAAACCTGATGTCCTTATGTACCACATTAGTTCGATTTCCGCTTCAAGATCCTTGTATTTTGATAGTTTTTTTTTTGTTGAAGATCTTCAAAGATACATTACAGTCTACAGGGCCTGCCATATGAATAAGAAAGCACATTCTTTTTTTCTTGTGGTCTTTGATCACGACGTCTGAGCGATTAGCTTTGATTGTTCTATGTTTATTGTAAAGTCCCATAAAATTGTTACAGGTCCTATGTCAGTAAACGAGTGATGTACATACCAGTTTCTTGCAGTTTCTTGCAGTTTTTTCCCCGTAAAAGTTGCATATTATTATTATCATTATTATTATTATTATTATTATTATTATTGTTGTTGTTGTTAAATGTTCTTTAACTCATTTCCTTCTGGGTCCCAACTAGAGACCTAGGCTCAGTAATGGCAGTATGACATTTTTCCACAGAACATTTATGTAAAAGAAAAAGACAACCTATGATCATATACATTTTACATGGATAAAGCTCTTCGTAATGTGTGTGGGCTGTACTCGTGAGTACAATTTTTTGCATTTCTTTAAGAAACGGGGTCCTGGGATCTCTTCATTGAGTCTATCGGAATATTTTCCAATTTGAGGGCTCCAACTAGAACTGAATTTATTGATGCCCACATGTGCCAAATGTTTTAGATTTTCGCTTCAAGATCCTTGTATTTTGATAGTTTTTTTTTTTAAAGATTTTCAAAGCTACATTACAATCTACAGGAATTGCCATGTCAATATGAAAGCACATTCTGTTTTTTTGGTCATTGATCATGATGTCTGGACGATTAGACTTGATTGTTCTGTGTGTATTGTAATGTACCATAAAATTGTTACAGGTCCTATCTCTGTAATCGGATTATCATCGTCATTAATATTATTATTATTATTATTATTATTATTTCCTTTGGTGTGTTCACATTTCGTTCCGAGTCCCAACCAGAGACCTAAGATTAGAAATGTCATCATGACATTTTCCACTGGCAAAAAAAAACTATTTTACATAGGTAAATCCCTTCGTAAGGTGTGGGCTGTATTCGTATTTTTTTGTATTTCTTAAAAGCATGGGCTTCCAGGAATCCCTTCAATTAGTCTGCTGGAATATTTTCCAACCAATTCGAAGGCTCCAACTACAGCAGGGATTGTTGATGCTCCCATGTGCCACATTTTTGAGATTTCGATTTCAAGGTCCTTGTATTCTGATAGATTTTTGAAGATCTTCGAAGATACATTGCAGTCTGCAGGGACTGCCTTATCAATAAGGAGCCAATTTTTGTTTGTTGTCTTGTCTCTAATTATTATTATTATTATTATTATTATTATTATTATTATTATGTGCTCTTATTGGAAATTTTATACACAATTCAAGAAACCTTTCCTTGTGTAGAAAGATAAGTTATTTAATGTTTTTGGTTGCCAAATAATGGTTGTTAGCATTTTGGGTCTGTCCTTTTTGTGATTTCAGTCTAGTCTTTTGGTATAAGCCCCTAAAATGTCTCTTTTATGTTGATAGTGGTATTATTTGACGATTGCTTATATTCCTCAAATTAAAATCGCACGAACTGAAACGGGAGTAGACAGTCATACAGACATGGAACCCGACCAACAGACATGGCCGGCATTTATTTGACTGAATCTAAGAGAAAGAAAGAAAAAAAAGCTGACATCACGACATAAATAAGCAAATAAACACATTAGCATACTGTTGGAACACGAGGAATGAAGAGAAATATTTGAGGGTAGAATCGTGTGGGAAAGAATGATCTTAGAATTCCGGCTTGAGGACGACAGGAATGTCGAAAAAAGACAACATTATTCTGCTTATATGTGTACTTGTATCTACACGCACACATATGACGCCTGTACGATACGCCTTTCAGGATAGGTTTTATATATTCACCAACACGAAGACTTAGAGATACGTATAGTAACAGATAATTTTCTGACTGACTTGAATACAAAAATAGAAAGCGGTTTAAGGCAAGGATGCGTCTTCTCGCCGGACTTATTCAGTGAGGCGATTCTGAGAGAATTAGAAGTCCTACCGGGATTTGTTATTGGCGGACGCAATCTTAGCAACATAATATATTCAGATGACAGAGTGTTGATGACAGACACAGAAAGGAAGCTGCAAGAACTCCTACAGAAGGAAAGCATCAATTATAAGAAAATTAAATGCATGTTTGTTAGCAAAACGACTAACGCAACATGCAAGTTGCAAACTAAATAGAAGATAGTAAAGGAAAGGGAGAAGAGAAGACTAAGCATCAATTACAACAAGACAGAAGACATGGCTTTTAAGAAATGAACAAGCCTCAACGTCAAAATTACAAATTGGAGATAGCAAAATCAAACAACTATAACAATTTAAGTATTAGTACTGAATTGTTATGTAATATCAGTCTTCCTATATGGCAATGAATCCTGGACAATCTCCTCACAAATGAATAAGAGACTTGAAGCAACAGAAATAAAGAAAAGAGTACTGAACTGTTACGTAATATCAGTCCTCCTATATGGCAGAGAATGCTGGACAATCTCCTCACAGATGAAGAAGTGACTTGAGGCAACAGAAACAAAGAAAATAGTACTGAACAGTTACGTAATATCAACCTACCTATATGGAAGTGAATGCTGGACAATCTTCTCACAGATAATGAAGAGACTTGAAGCAAGAGAAACAAAGAAAAGAGTACTGAATTGTTATGTGATATCAGTCCTCCTATATGGCAGTTAATGCTGGACAATCTCCTCACAGATAAAGAAGAGACTTGAAGCAACAGAAACAAAGAAAAGAGTACTGAACTGTTATGTAATATCAGTCCTCCTATATGGCAGTGAATGCTAGACAATCTCTTCACAGATGAAGA